TAAGCATGTTATTGGCATTCATATCAGTAGAGAGCAAATCTCAAAAGCTATAATCATTAGATTGACAAATCTACAAGTATGGGGAGGTGAGCCGCGTGCTGAGACCAGGAGGTGAGTTAGCTGTGTATTCGTTCAGACCCGATACAATACGCAACAAAGACGCACAGCAGCTTGTATGGAAGGTATATAAAAAATAATCTGGGGAGTTTATGACGAAAGGAAAGAGTAGGAAAAAAAGAGAAACTTTAGGGATTTGTAGAAGCGACAGAAGACCAGTTGTGTTCAATACTTTATTTCGGTCGAGCTGCAAATATGTCCACAGAGTATTTTATTCAGTAATTTGTCAGTCAAAAGAAATAGTTTCTCATTTAAGTTAAAAGTTCTCATTTCATTTGAAAAGGTGGGCTAATCTTAATTATAAAACGTTATTTCAAAATCAACCAAACTGTATTCCAATCTTTAGTAGTCCCATTTCACCCCTTTTGAAACGCCCGTATTAAAGTCGACGCAACTCAATAATCTGAAACAGTCGATGTTCTTCTGTGGTATTTACTTTTGTTCGAGGTTGTCTTTTCACTCAATGAAACTGTTAATCTTGACACTCAATCCTTTGCCTTGTTGTCATCCTTTTTGAAATCTCAATTGAAATATATAATAAGGACGTTCGATAGTTTTATACTGATGGTTCGAAAGATGACCGTAAGGTTGACGCAACCATCGTTGCAGCAATCTTGGTAATGCAGGCTACTAAAAGAGGCATCGTTATTTTTTCTATGGAAGCCCTGCTATTTATCTTGGCCTTTTACACACCTGGTTCTACCAGGTAACGAATAGGAAACTTGCACCGCCAAAACGGCTTTATTTCTACCACCTGTTGATTTTAAACCGATAATTATATTTTGTTAGGTCAAAGTGGCAAAACATTGCAATTAATACGTAAACAACAAGTTACCCTCTGTAAAACCTCAACTATATTAATGAAATCCTAGCTAAAGAGAAAACCGCCGAGACGAGGTTGTCCTTGTCCGTCTCTGGGTTTGTCATTCATGCATTACCTATGTGTTTGTTGACAAGCAAATATGAGCCGCAATTCATAAACGTTAATAACAAGATTGTATTGACTTTCAGCCGACAACACAAAATTGTCATAGTTATATAACAGATTTTTCGAAATATCTGTACAGTTATAACCTACCTATACGTTGGTTGTTCAAAAAAAAATAACTAACCACAGCCATTTAGCTTGTTTATCTCATTTCCTTTGACATGTATTTTAGGTACATTTTATTTGCGCAATTGTGTGTTGATGGGCCGTTCAAAACCCAAAAGCAATACAAATAATAATTAAAAAGGTGTGTGTTATTCTAGCAAGGATGAACGTCAAAACCTTTTTGACATAAATAGTTCCTGTTGTCGTCCTATTTCTACTATCAGAAGCTTTGCACATTAACTAACATTTATTGACTCTTTTTTACCATTTTTCAAATTAAAAAAAACCCACCTGCTGTATTTTCTTAATAATATGTACAAGTAAGATTCACAGCTTAAATACAGCAGTGATGATGTTGTGTGTTTATAATATTGTTACAGATTAAGGACACTGTATAGAGACGAAAAGTCCGGTGAGTTCCGTCCGATTGACCTCACTACACCGATCTATATGCTGCTGGGAAGTAAATAAACAGATATAATACCGGACAAAAAACTATAATTAAAGCTTATCTGGTTAAACATGCTTCATTACATACGTTTATTGCTAAAGTATTATCTGAACATTCACATTATTTTTATTCATATATCTATATATTTTAAAATGTCATAGCAACTTTAATTTAAGGAAAAATGGTACATTGTAAACTCAGTTTATTTTCTTTATCATTTGTTTATTCGTTTTGAAGAAAAAAATATTTATATTCAGGTTGTCCATTATGCGTCATAAATCATTCCGTTTTATTTCTGTGACCTTGATTTATGTAAATATACATGCATGGCACGTACTACAAGTTGGTTTGCGATATGTTCCTGGGGCTACCTGTATAAAGTATCTCAAAGTTGATGAAAATTTAAATCAATGTATTGTCTATTAAAAATGTAGACTTGAGGACATCTAAAGAGTTGAGATAGTATATACAAAAGGGGCCTGCTGGCGTAATTTAAACGACGTTATATATATATCAGTAAACAGAATAAAAACTTCCTTCTTGTTTTTCCTAAAAACACAAGGTTGAAACCTCAACACTAACTACAGTTGCGTGCTCAATATCATTGGCAGACAATTCTTTATATGGTTGATGTGTTCATTTTTTAATGTCTTTAGTGATATAGTTTGTTGTTCCGAAAAATGGAGTAAAAAATATTTCGCCGTAAATCATTACAATACCTAGCATATTTCTTTTGTGCTGAGCGTTTGACTAAAATAAGAAGGAACTGGTCAGTCATTAAAACTTGTTATTTTTGTTAAATCCTCGACATTTATAATTTAATAGGAAGTTATTAGAACTGGTTAAACCACTGCCGGGTTGCAAAATTTGCAATTGTGGAATTTCAGATTAAAAGTATTTTGTTTTGATGATAGTTAAGATTATACAATTAAGCAGTAGACTGGAAGTTATATTTGAAAGGTATGAATGATTAGCAATAAATAAAGTTTCAACTAATATTCGATACTTTCGTTTTCCGTTCACTGTGTGATAGCTAATTTGCTATAACGCAGAGGCTCGCGGCTAGTGAAGTACAAAAACATAACTAAACTAGAAGAAGCCCCTGACGAGGATTTAAATCGAGCGTCTGCTGATATGATCAGCGAGCTAACCTTCCTTTATAGAACCATACTTAAGCTTTGTAAATCAAGTGAGCGATAAAGGCGGAAAAGAACGTTAAGATTCCTCCCCAATTTGTAAAATATGAGAATATTTAGAGCTTTAAACGGTTCAGTGGGTTGTACAGGGTTCAGTGTCCTTTTAACAGCTAAGGTAACTTAAGGTCGTTTTAAGTTAAAAACAATTTGCTTCAAAATATTTAAAAGTAAAGTATGCTATCGAGTTTTAGTCTGAAAGTGAGACAGAACTTCATCACGATGAAGTATAATGTGCCGTGTTCACACAAATGCGTGAAATTAATTGTGATGTACCAAATACAAGTATAAAATGCTTGTTTGATACAGTTTATATGCATATTTATATTATATTAAGATATGATGATTTACTTTCAGTAAAACCTTACAATATAATTTGACATATTTTTCTTCTAATGTTATAAGTTCGTATTCCTAAATTTAGGGTAGTTACGCACATCTGCGTCTGTTTCAACATTGGTGTAGACAAATTGGGATTTCCACCTTTTTGATCCCTGTCATCACCAATGAGCCATCGAAGGACAAACAGCGGTATTGTGCAGTGTAACACATTTTTCGCATGTTATATCATTTCTGCAATTAAATGTATGTCTCTTAGAGTCATTTCTATGACCGATAAGTTTGGTGTGTTTTTGCATCTCTACGCCTTTGAGGTTTTTATATATTGTGTCGTGGGAGCGTCTGGTTCAATAGTGTTGTTTGGCCCTAAACGATTAACATTTCAATGAGATGGTACTTTTTTGTGGACTTTAAGTGACATTATCAATTACACACCATGTCACGACCCTTACTGTTGCATGACGGAAAACCATAAACAAACTATTATATATATCAGTGTTGTAGTCATCTCATTCTACAACCACAACACAACATTGTAATAACGTAGGGGAAATACACCTTACAACAGGACACCTGATCTTAACACTTTCCGTACGTACTGCAATCCGGTTCGGATTCCGTACTGGATGTCGTGACTAGACTCGCCCCCGCGCAAATAACAAAATGGCGGATTATTAATGTTCTTTTTAGACGAGGTGTAATTGCTGCAAGAATTAAACAGGTAACCGTGAACAAATATTGTTTATGTTTCATGTTGTTGTTTATAGACACACACTTCTTCAATTTCGCAGCGTAATAACTAACTGGCACCTAATTATGACAGAGAAATCGGCGTCTGTTCGGCAACAAACGATACGAAACCTTGCTTTGAAAACAGCGTTGTAGTGGAGGTCCCTAATAGGGATTGATTATTGTTTACAAGTACGAAGTCGTTAGGTTTGTTTTTCTAATTAGGAGTAAATTTCATTAAGACGACTTATATTAAAATATTCAGTTTTACTTCCATAAATCTAAATAAATATTTGGTGAATTTACGAGAGTTCATATCGAATTAAGTTGCCGCCATATTGTTTATATTTGAATCACCAAACGCAAACATCTTGCGGAAGATTCGAAAACAATAGATCACACAATATTTATTGTGTACTCTGCACCTGTAAAACTATTTCTTTTCAACTGATGAGTACTGATTTTAGCGACACTTAATTGTATTACGTGATTGTCGTGTGCGATAACCAGCTAAACATAAGACAAGTTACACCAAAGTCTGTTGTCGTGTTTGTACACGACAACGGGGATGAGACGGCTTATTATTCTGTCGTCTGTACACGACAACGGGGACCAGGATGACATATTGTTGTCGTGTCCATCGTGTGTACACGACAACGGTACGGAAAGAGTTAAACGAGTTTATATCCTCGTAAGCATCTGTTATATTAGCGACGCAAATATAATGATTGACTTAAAACTTATTATCACTTGAATCAGAGTCTAACTAAATAGCTGTAAGTAATTCTATGCACTCCAGCATCCTCAACAAGTCTTTAATTATTAGGTTTTTATGAATAAAACATTCACGTTTTTAATATCTGGTTTTATTACATATTCATTTATGCACGAATACCTATATTTACATAGTTTCAAAGCAATACGTGTCAGATGAAATGGTGTTATCATAAGTGAATCCACGTGAACTGAGTTGACCCGTTCAAACTGATTCATAGTTCGTCACACTCGTAGCCTTAACCAACGAACACACCTGATATAAGGTACGTGATCATGTATTTAAGTATCAACTGTACAGACATCTAAACACAACTACCATTCTACATGTAGGACATGTTGTGAGTTTGATACAGTAAGTATACTTTTTTGAGAATGTTCCGATTTTAATTGCTACACGTTCCTCTCCGACGACTGACAAATGTTGACAAGAAATAATGACTTCGGAGTAATGTCGCGAACATTTAAAAGGATTTTAGTTTAAAGGGTTAAATGGATATTAGAAAATATATCGGGCTGCTTAACCAGTAGTAAGCTTAAGAATGAACTATATTGACTGATTTTGATTTTAAGCAACAGTCAATAGTCAGGTTTATTAATTGAAAGCATGAATTTGAGCTCCGGTATGGCGACCCGAGTGGGCAGGTGTGGTGAGGTTCACCTCCGTGTATATTTCTATTTTACTACTGTTTCAGTAAAGTTTTTCTCCCATAATTTTGAGATGGAGTCTCTATGACGGACTCTTTATTATTTGCTCTTGAACTATAATTATACAAATTATATTGTCAAATATATAGAGAATATATACATACAGACCTAGCTATTAGTAAAATATAATGCGGCATATACGCATATTTGCGTTGGTGTCTCATCAAATAATGCTATCCACCTACCGTACTACCTACGGATGGCACTTTGGAGTGAATCTATGATTTGCTTATCGACTACTTTAACCTGATAATTTTGTGGACTGCGCTAGGTGCGTAAATTAATCATGTTAACACTGGTGTAAAGATGTGGTTGAAGGCAGTGCATGTGATGATGTCTTGGAGAAAGAAGTCCATGATGTAAATTTATTGGTCGCATTAGTCACATGACATATTATCAGCCATATTATTGAATATTCGTTCTATGAATCTACCTGTTCTTGCAAGTTAATCATTATTCGATCAGTTAGAGATCATTTTCTTTAATCATTTTATAGACATCTTAAAACCCTGTATGTTTTACTGAAACTCACCTAAATTCTGACAGATATAACAATGATTTATAAATTAATGCACCTTCCAACTTATATCTTAGAGATCGACAGGTATTATAAAATACACTATATAATAATCTTCTCATAAATTGTAGAAATGATTTTTAACTGAAGACATTGAACTTGTAATGTAAGAAATTAACACTTCAAATAAAACAAAATATCTATGTTGCCTGTATAGGCCTCCTAATGTAACAATTAATTATTGGAATAAACTTGATAATATATTAGATAATCTCTAATACTAATCATAATATAATTATTACTGGTTACATTGATGTTGATCTGCTAACAATGAGATATAATTCACATCTATCAAGACTTTTGACTAAATATCAACTAATAAACCTGATACAAACTCCAACACGCATTACAAATACTACTGCTACGTCAATAGACGTATTTATTACGAATAATGTTAACATTTTTAAATCGACACAAGTACTTTCACCTCTCTGTAGTGATCACTGTCCCATTCTAGCTAACGACTGTTTTAAAACTCTAAAAAGGAAACCCTTTAAAAAATAATATATACCTACAATGAAGCTAAATGGGATGAAATTAATAAAGAATTACTCAGTAATGATTGGGTTAGAATTCATATAATACCAATTCTAATATCAATGATCTATGTTCTATTAACGTAGACAAAATAAACTATGTCACTAACATGCACCACATAAAACAAGTACTGTGCATCCTGACGACAAACCTTGGATGACGGGTGAAATTAGGCATAAACTGAGACAGAAAAACAAATTACATAAAAAAGCTAAAGATAAAAATAGAGAACAAGACTGGGCTAAGTTAAAAGCTTGTCGTAAAGACAGCATTGATCTTATTAGGCAAACTAAGATCAATTATCTGAAGAAACTGCAAAATTGTCTTGCTCTAAATGAAAAACAATGTATGTATATATATATATCTGTTTTTGAGCGCCTATTTTATTATTTTCTAAGTGACTTCAAGGTTCAGTATCGTTTATTAGAAAACAAATAACCCCAATATTCTCAATTACATCAAAGTGACAATGGACTGTAACGCAACACCAACACAGATGTTATTTTGTTACACACATCATCACACACCCCTATATATCCAGGACAGAAAAAAAGAACATACCTGCTGTTAACCACTGTATTGCAAATGACAGCTTCTGTGTGAAATCCTTCAAAGTTGGGGTTTGCTATAGTGCCCTTTACTTAAGGACACAAGTGTGATCATTCTGTTACACTTGTTGCAACCTTTCAGACATACATATTTATCTCTTATTCCTAACTTCCTTTTTGTTTATTAACGCCTTGCTTCGCAACGCCGTTTTTGTTGACATTTAAGTCCAACGTTCGTCCAAGAGGAGAAGACAACGATTATTTTACATAACAGTGTTATTTAAAGTTACAACTAGTACATCTAGTGTATCTACTGCTTAACGAACTATTATACGATTACTCTTTGCTGATGAACCATGTAGTCCAACGTTATCCTAACAGTGTCCTGACATGTCATTGACCATCTGTTAAAGAAACACTTGAAGCTGGAAAACATTTTAATACTCATAATTAAAACCGCGTTTAGGATGATTCGATATGAACGGTTAAAAAATACACAAAATAAACTGAATAATTTCGTTTTGAACATTTGCAGTAACGACCTTATCATCAGAATGAACTCCAAACAAATCACCTATCGTCAATTTGAAGACAAAGAACATGCACAACTGTATGCAAAGTACAGACCATCTTATCCTAAGGAATTATACGACAAAATAAGAATGTTTTGCCGGCAATCGGACGGCAACGAATTGGCTTTAGCTATTGACGTTGGCTGTGGAAGCGGACAGAGTACTCTCCCTTTGACCAACATATGTAACCATGTTATTGGGATAGATGTCAGCAGAGAGCAAATAGCAGAAGCTAGAAAGGCCGCAAGTGTTATTGACTTCAGAGTCGGTCAAGCCGAGGATCTGAGTTTCCTCGGAGATGGAACTGTAGACCTCGTGACTACAGCTACAGCCATTCATTGGATGGACATACCTACATTTATGGGGGAGGTGAGCCGGGTGCTGCGACCGGGAGGTGTAGTAGCTGTGTATTCAATCGGCACTGATACCATACACAACAAAGAAGCACACCAGCTTGTATGGGAGGTATATAAACCTTTTTCTTTAGCTTTATGATAATATTTTCTTATTTATAAAAAAATCCTTAGGTTTCACATTGTACAACAGGTTATAATTCACTCTATAACGGATTATTCGCACAAAGCCACTTTCAGTGTACATACTCGGCATATCATGCTTTAATGGGAAAGCTGCAGAACCACAGGTCCAAGTTATTGCTGATATTAAAATAGATTTAGTATCCTCCATATAACGCCTATTTCCCCTAATATTCAATTTGTGTAACATTTATGGTCATTTTAACTTTAACATTTTTTAAATTCTAACCAGTGAGATATGTGAACGTATGATTGTCAAAGAATATATATTACAAGGTTTTTGTTTTGTAGGATTTATATACCAAGACTTTGGGGGACTATTGGATTGACACAAAATTCCATATCGACAATGGCTTAGCTATGATAGAGCTCCCTTTTGCGGATTCAATCAGGTAACTTTTTGCATCGTTGTATTATAAATTTTGTTTGCCATTTATAACTGTCGTTGAAAAATGCTATTTGGATATCCAAACGACGATAATATCGTGTGAAAATTATCTTTCTACATAAACTAAAGGTTCGTGGTACTCCTCCAAGCAAATCTTTCATCTATTTATGATTGTCACAGACCGAGGATGTTGATGACCATAAGGCCAAGAAGATATGTTATTTAGTTGACTGTTTCGAAAAATATACAAGGTTTGGTTTGGTTTGGTTTTATATAGTTAAACGTCCTACTAACATAAAAGGCCATTTAAGGACGTTCCTCCATCTGTGTTGTGTATGAGTGCATGTGTGTATGTGTGCCGGAGGGTATGTTGATGTATATGCCTCCTTGTGATAGCGCGGATCCGATGCCGTCTTTTGAGTGCTTTCTCACTGAAATACCATGCCGAAGGCACCCAGCACGGCATTCCATCCAGTCATGGATGATGAAGAGTTTTTAACACATTTTTATCAGGGTTTGTCGTTCGACAACTATTTTCATCGTTCGCACGATATAGCGGTGGCCTCTCGATTTTATCTACGTGCTCGCGATGCGTTGGACTAAACATTCTATTAAGGTTCGAGCGATGCGAAAACTGTTAGAATGACAAACCCTGAAACACAATGTGATATAATATAAATACTAAATATTGACGGACAACCATGTTCGCCCCTATCCACTTGCTCGGGGTTTCCTTTTTAATATCGTCATATTGTCAGGATGTATTACAGTTAACGTGTTGCTTCTATGTCTTTCTATCAGTTGAAGTCAAATAAATAAGGTGTTCACCGATGATGGGGTCGCTTCAAAGTGTTATATCACAGACATGTTGTAACCTGGACACAGTAAAAATACAGTTTTCACTTTAATGTATCAGTACATGTTATTATTTGTGTGTCGCCTGCGAAAAGCTGGTGACACCAATCTAATTAAAATTATATCTTCACATCGCTCCCGTTTACTGATATGTCGCGTTGAAGATCTAACAACATCCTGTAGAGGGTCATGTTCAGGCGACCTTTGCATAACCAATCAGAGGAGAGCTTACGCATTTCTGTAAGTGATGATGTAATAATTTCGGAACACACTTGCTATGATAAAACACCAATTTTTGGATTTTGCTTTGAAATAAGAGAGACTTCCTCTTCTGGTGAGGTTGTCGTTAAAAAGTTTAACAACCTGAAACTAAAATTAACCAATGACAGGCTTCGCAATATTCAAACTATCACTGGACCAGACGAAAAAATGGATTTTGGGCTACGAGGTGTCTGCATTAAATGCCACAGGTCCTGCTTTCTGATTGGTTGAATGAAAGAGTTATGTCGCGTTTTGATTGGCTTGTTATAAATACGATAATGCCTTCATGTTGACCTCTGACGTGGCCCTCTATGGTATGTTGTTAGATCTTCAACGCGGCATATCAGTAAACGGGAGCGATGTGAAGATATAATTTTAATTAGATTGCTGGTGACACATAGGTATTGATATGTCGGCGTCGGCGGCGTCGGCGGCGTCGTCCGCACAGAGGTTTTCGTGCGATAACTTGAGTTTATTTGGGCCTCTAAGACTCACACTTCATGCAGTGCTTTCTTACTAAAAGTGCTTGCTTGAAATTGCTTTTCAGGTCTGAAGGTTAAAGGTCAAGGTCACTGTTACTATAAATAGAAAATATGTTTTCGTGCGATAACTTGAGTTTCCTTGGGCCGATCAAACTCAAACTTCATGCAGTGCTAAGCATACTTGCATTTTCAAGAAAAAAAATATGGATACTAATGAGGCGATGCTGGTCTTAACTCAGAGTAATTCTTCCCAGAACAACAGATTATATAACAAAATGATGCCACCAAAAAACATAATCTATGATTATTGCTTACTTTTAACAGTATTTCTTGAAATGAAAAGTGTATCTATTTCTTCCTAATCTTCCAGCTTCCTGCGCAGACGACACATCCACTTCCGTGGAATTCCTGTCTTTGTTTATATGCATATTTATTCTTTCTCTAATAGAGAGGAGCCTTTATTGATTAAGCGAGAAGTTGAGATAGATTCCTACGTTGGCCTGTTCAGTACATGGTCGTCATGGCGACGGTTCCAAGAGAAGAATCCAGAGTCAAATGCGTTAGGAGAGTTGAGGACAAGGTAATAGAGTGCAAGTAAAAGCGTCGTTGTCACCAAACTCATATTTTCGCTTTTCACTGACGTTTATAAACACGAGACGATTTATTTCAGCAACTGTTCTATCAGGATATCATACATATATACATTATATATAGTTATCGGAAACAAAACCGTTTAAAACAATGTCTTTTCTATCCACACTTTTTAGGAGCTTTTCACTTTCACATTCTGTAAAATAACTTTTTCATTTTATCCTCAAAATAGAAAACAATTATATTGTTTTTCAAAATGATAAGTACATTTAATATTTAAAGATGACGATTATGATGTTCAGTGTTCATAATATTGTTACAGATTAAGGACACTGTATAGAGACGAAAAGTCCGGTGAGGTCCGTCCGATTGACCTCACTACACCGATCTATATGCTGCTGGGAAGGAAATAATCAAATATAATGCCGGACAAATTTGTATTTTTAACTTGTCTGGTTTAACATTTTAAATTGGATATATTGATTGTTAGAGACACACGCATCTATATGAATATTTATATGATATAAATGTAGTTATACCTATTATTTAGTATCGCCATGTTAAAGAGTAGATAAAAACATTCGGGAAAGTATGTACATTGTAAACTTGATTATTATTTTGTTAATAACATTTTGGAAATAAACATTTCTATTCATGCGTTGTATTATGTGTCTCAATGCATTGTATTTGGTTTCTGTTTTCTTACATTACGCGAAGTCGGAGCCTCAATATTTAATACATTTTCGTTTCCTAAAGCCTTAACAGGCAATTTCTAGTTAGGTTTGATGTACTAATTTGTGTGAACGACTAACTTTTTTGTGCATCTCCTTGGTGTAAGCGATTGTTCAATCAAAGAATTATATGGACGGACTGTCACTATAATTGATATTTTCTGTTGTCTGCTGGACGTTGCGAATTTAATAGAAAGCGATAAGAATCAGTTCAACCGATGCAATTATTGTGTGGTGCTAAATAATTGTGTGGTGCTAAATAAATGTCGGCCAGCAAAATTTGTAATGGTGGAATTTAAGATATTGATGTATCATTGTATTGATGGGTCTAATCCCAACTCACAAGAAGATGAGAAATTGTAGTCCACAGGTAGGTATATTAAGTGACAAAATGCTAACTGCAAAGGTTTTTTTTAATATTGTTGCAACTATAAAGTTACCTGTTTAATTCTTGCGGCAGTTACACCTTGTCTAAAAAGTACATTAATAATCGGCCATTGTGTTATATGCGCGGAGGCGAGTCTAATAAATACATCCGGTACGGAATCCGGACCGGAGTTGCGGTACGGAAAGAGTTAAGCAATAACTTCGTTCCTCGATCTCTTAATAATGACTCATTTTGCTTCAACACAGACACTCGCGGCTTGTGATGTGAGAAAAACACCTAAAACGAGACGATTCCCCTGACGAAGAGTTGGATCGAGCCTCTGCATATATGCGAGCTTATCTACCTTTATGTATTGGTTTGGTTTAGTTTGGTTTAGTATTGTTTAACGTTTTATCAACAGCTATGGTCAATTAAGGACGGTTTCCCCTGTGTGTAAGATGCATGCGTGTAGTGTATACGTGTGATTTTTGGGAGGATGCGATATGTTCGTGTTTTGTCTCCTTGTGATAGCACGAAACTGATGCCGACTTTATAGTGCTCCCTCACTGAAACATACTGCCGAATACACCAAGCAGGACATCCCACCCGGTCACATTATACTGACAACAGGCGGACCAGTCGTCCCACTCCGAAATTGCTGAGCGTTAAGCAGGAGTAGAAACTAACATTGTCACATACTCTGGTATGTCTCGGCCAGGGGACAGAACCCAAAGCCTTCCTCACAGGGGCAAACGCTTAACTAAAGGCCAAAAGTGAGGCATTATCAATGGAGAAATTAGGAAGAAAAACAGTTGTTCAGAAAGAAGGGAACAGATAACAAGTATTACGCCCTACCTGCAAGACAGACCTGTATAGAACCATAATCAAGCCTTAAACACAAGTGAGCGATGTAGACGAAGTAGTACGTTAAGATACCCTGCCCAATCTTTATACTTAAGAATATTTAATGCTTTATAATGTTGGTCGGGTCGAAATGGGTTTAACGTCCTATTTACAGTCTGTTCTAAACATGTTATGTGAAGTAAAGTATGCTCAGATTTAATCTGAAAGTGAGGCAGAACGCATAATGATGATGTTTAAATGAATGTGCCGTTTTCGATTGTGTTTGCTATTTTATGATCCTAGCTCTTGCAGGACGGAAAGCCCCACAGTAAACAATTACATATACAATTCACACCACACTACAACGCACAATACAACATTGCAATACTATAGAAAGCATATAGTTGTTAAAATAGAAAGCTGTTCGTTATTGTATGCACTACAACATCATCAACAAGTCTTTAATTACTTTGTTATCATAAATAAAACATTTACATTTGTAACATATTGTTTTATTGCATATGTATACGTATACCCAGTATTTGTCAGAAGTAAACATAAGTGACCTCAGGTGAAGAGGAGTTTACCGGTACCAGGTGATACATAGTTCATCACATTCGTAACCTCAACAATCGGACACACCTGATAACAAGTACGTGATCATGTATTTATCTATCAATTGTACAGACATCTAAACACAACTTCCATTAAAATGTAGATCAGCTTGTGCGTTTGATACAGTATTCAAAATATATAGACTATGACGTTGTGATACTATGAACTTAACCTGAAGCCTTTTTTCATACCGAAAACATGAAACCTATTTTTTATATAAAATATTAAACTTTATATCACATAAAGTTTTTTAGTTTAGGGCTTTGTACAGTTAATCTATATTTTGAGTCGCTTAGATTCAAACAACATTAAGTATAGGCGTTTATTTGTACAGACCAATTGTGATACAAATGTGACAGTTATTGTTCGGTGCTAAAAGTCGGACCGTGACAACTAGTTTACAAGTGTTACGCTCTGCTGAATGAGCTAAAGTGAAATCCTCTACAGCCGAGTCGGTATACAACAGCGAGTATTGTGTACCAGGGTGAAACGAAGTTTTATTCAAATTTGCAAACTTTAAAACGTAGCAAATCAGTTTAATTACCCGGTACTTTCCTTAGTGCTGCTGCTAAAGCAGCCTTATGTGATTCCTTATTTCCAGGTAGCCGATAAGACTGTTTTATCAAATATTTATTTATTGACAAGAATTTTAAACTCCTTTATGTTTTGAACACCAATGGTAATTAAAAACTTGTTTCGCGAGCTTTCAAACACGTCTGTTTCTTGTGTCAATTAAAACGTTCCTTGACTTTATACTGCTGATAAAAATGTGACGAGCCATGACTTAAGCTATTATAATGACAGCTTCTCGGCAGAGACGATTCATATGGCACTGATATTTGTCTCGGCTAACACCCATGTTATACGACGGACTAGGCGTCCTTACGGGTAGGGTAGGCTTATTTCATTGGTCAGCCGATCAGTTTATAAACAACAGATTTGACGTAACAGCCAAGTGAATTTGGCTTTAAAAGAGAGTTTTAAAATGTTATATGTCTCCTTGATTTTCACACAATTATGTTCCTTATGCGAAACTAGTGCAATTATCATACAGCGATCATATATACTAAAAGTACCAAAACAGGTTATTCGAGGTAACAAAACGTTTGCGTACTGAAATGCGCGCGTGTATATCCATGTGGTTCAAACGAAAAGAAGTATGCAACGGATAATTCCTTTTTTATCATTTAGTTGTGAGATGCGTAAATCAAGTGAAAAATATAAGATATGCTAGTGAAGAACGATGTGTTTTTTTAATATCCTTAATTCTTACAATAAAACGACAGACAATGTCTAATAACCTTATATATTTTTCTATGTAAGGAACAAACTGTTATTTGAATGCTATAATAATATAATATACCTACACAATTGTTAAAAATATTTTTTGTTTTTGCCCCGTTATTGTAATTGCGATTCCTGTTACCATATAGGGTTTAACGGATATAAGAAAATATGGTTTGCTAAAGCATAAGCCATAACACTGCACACGTTCATTGGTACATTTTTGGTGTCATTGATGAACAAATAGAACAAAATAAAAAAAACACGGTGCAGTGAGGTGATACAATGCTTACATGACAAAACGTTCTTAAAGGTCAGAAGCTGTTGACGGGACGTTCAACTCAGTTACCATACCAAGTTATTTACAATCAAATGATCTTTACCATAGGCTACAACCAATGTATTTGTCTACTAATGTAACTGTCTCGAGAATCACGAGATGATGTTGTGGGTTCGACTTGATGTTTAATATATAAAAGAACCTACAAAAAAAAAAAAAAAACAGAAAAAAATTAACCCCCACACTCATATCTTCACATATTGCATACACAGCAAAGATTGATAACTATTTACTTACATTCATATTGCGATTCAATTAATTAGTCTCATTTATACATAATGGAAAGATGTTAATTGTATTTTACAATATACAATTTATTACTAGAAATATGACTTAACATCTATTTTCCATTTAAGAATAAAAAAGATAGCTACGGTTAAATTTATTAAATCAACACACATCAAGAACAAAGCATTTACTACATTTATAAAAGATATGGATATATCACTCCATTACACAATTACTTCTCACTTGATGAAAGTGACTTTAACCAAATAAACATATACATATACACACTCACCCTACGATATATTGCAGGGGTTAACACAAGGCTTATGGATCCCCGACCGTTCGCCTAAAAATGTAATGGGGCATTGTTTTTTTACGGCATCGCTTTTGCATAAGCACATCATTTCTGAACAATCACCCGTACAGTGTACCTTGCGGGAGTTTCTTCAGATTTTTTAGAAATTATGAAATTTCGATTTTTTTACAATCGAACAAAATGAAACAAAATACATATTATTTGATGCAGCAATTGTTTATTAGAAATATACCACATACAATTAATTACAATGTCAATATTGATGAATAAAACACCAAAAAAATTTCTAACAATAATACTAAAACAAACAAAAATGCCCATTACATGAATCAAGAAAATTCTGAGTGCCAATGCAACACGTTAAGGACAACGAAAAGAAAAGAAAAGTGACAAAAAAGAAATATCTAGCGGACTTACTTATTCTACATTTTTTTTTTATAAAGATACAAAAAACTAAACAAAATTGAGAGACAACTCTTACCTTTGTACCATAATAATTATAAATCCCAAAAAGTCATATATTCAATTCACAACATACAATATAGCACTTTTTGTATACAAATATAATACAGTAGGCATTACCAACCAATTCAATTACTTCAAATGTAAAAACCAATATAAAACAAATTGCACACGGTGTATGAATACAGTAACATTATAACAAACAATGTACTTTACTGTGTCATAGCAAAAATTTCACAATGAACAACAATAACAAAATCCCACACACTTTACACAACGATAATACATTTCTACATACTGTACAAATAACATACTATGTTATGATATAAAAAATCACACTATACAACAATAATAAACTTTTACAATCTGAACAAAACAATAATAAACTTTCAAATTATGTACAGATAAAAACATACCATATTATGATATAAAAAATATCAAACTATATACCAATAATAAACTTTT